TTCATTATTTACGATTGCTATATTGTGTAGTATTGCGGTTGCCATTATAATGTCTTGTACGGTGGGTAACTGCAAGCGTAACCCTAATGCAAGTACTGGAAATCTACGCTTCCACACACCAAACGCCCTTTCAATGACATTCCTTGTTCGTATTTGTGCTTCATTGAACCTATTTTCACCTGGTGTAGTAGGATTTAACAATGGTGTTATCAAATACTTAATAAGTGGGTATCCACTGTCACCTAATATCAAATGATTACCCATCCCATCTTCAAACACTGCTTTCAGCATGGAATTATTAAATATTGTGCTGTCATGTGTTGCACCCGGCCACCGTGCGACAATATTTCTAAATTTGAGATTGTGGTCACAAGCGGCTTGTATATTCATGGAAAAGTACCCTTTCCGATTCCTGAATTGTTCAGCTTGTGCACCACCAGGCGATTGTATTTTTACGTGTGTACAATCTAATGCCAACAGGACCCGAGGAAATGCTGCAATTCGATAAAAACCTTGTTGAATTATCATACATTCTTCTTCTGTTGGTAACGAAACGTACATAGGTCGTAACGTGCAAAGAGCGGATGAGACACGTTTAATGATATGGCATACTGATGATTTATGTACTCCAGCAAAGTCTCCAACAGTTATGAGCATATTACCACTCGCATAAAAGCGTAAACATATTAAAAGCTGCTGTAACGGAGTAATTACATGATTTCTTAAAAAGAACAGGAAAAATAATGTAACATAAACCTATAAAATATGATTTACCTATTAGTGGGGAAACGGATTATGTTTTCAATATTTACAAGCAATTCTTGTACAGTCTCTTTGCTTAAGCGAAACCTATTAATAAAATCAACATCGTCCCAAAACTGCAAATGATCTGGACGTTGTCGAACTACATAAGGTCTTCTGTACAATATATTTACATAATTTACTAATTCTTCATCACTATCACTTTCTGAAAATATATTGACATCATTTACAGCCATTTTTGTTTGACGTTTACGCCACTTTACGCGAGAAGCAAATTTATTCATATAAAGTCGTCACTTTTCCGGCTACATGTTACTGTAAACAGTAACTTAAAACTTGCAAAAAGTACCAGTTACTAATCTAATGGTTAAAATAAATTTATCTGCTTGGTAAACTTTACCAGACGGTTGATAAACGCAATTTGTAGTTTAACTAGTAGTTAATACTAACAAACACCTTAACAGTAGATTGATAAACCGGCCCTAAATGAGTTTAAATGTATCTCCAGCGGTGTCTGTAGATACGCCACCTGTACTTGTCGTTTAAAATTTTGAAAGCAGACATCTCAGAATGGACGAAAATACCATAGTGGAACCTCCAAGAGAAAAGCAAAAAACGAACGTTGAACAGCGAAGAAATAAGTTCAGAGTTAAGCAACGTCGGAAGATCGATATGAGGGTGATATCTTTAGAATCCGAATCTTCTGGAGTGTATTTCTAGTGAACTTTCATTTATATATTTTTAAGGTGGCTTTCATTAGAAATCCAAGCGGTTATATTAAGCGTAAGGGAAAGGGCCCCCAAATATTTTTGAGGACGGGCCTTTAAAATGAAGTTACCCCACTGGACAGCTAACAATAATCCAACAACAGGAAGAACGTTATCTATCGACGTCATTTTTGCGCGAAACTGGCGTGCCTTAAGGCTGGCCTTCGTATATTCCGAATGTGTGGAGACCCCCTATAATTTAGGTTCGCCTCAAGGCCCGTCGCCCCGAGGCATGCCTTCGGTTTTTCCGTTGCGTGTGGAGCCGCCTTTAGGAATCAGCAACGGCTTACTACATTTTAAATTCTTTAAATGAAGCAATAATATACTTTTTTAACAAAATAAAAATCTACACAATTATATAATCTTTGAAATTGTACTTCATTTTTATCACTGACGAGACTGTTTCAATATTCAATAAATTCCTTTATTTTGTCCACTGTTGTGCCACTAGTGAAAATATTCTTTCGGGGTTGTCATTAAGAGTAGAAATGCAAAAAAAGTAGTACTACGCAATTTTCAATAACTTCGAGTACCTATAAAAGAGCATTCGATGTTTTAAAAAATTGTTACCAATGCTGATTTCCCTTTGAAAGTGTATCTTGTTGGCTTAAATTTTGACAGAAAAATTTTTAATTCACCCACTCAGTACCTCAAAACCCGGACTACCATTGAAAACCCGCCCGGACGCCCCCTAAACTAGGACAGATCCGGACGGATGGCAACCCTATCCAAAAATCATTCTTTTTTCTCTTTTTGTTCAAACCTCAGAAATAATTTAAAGAAGCTAAATGGAGAACTGAATAAGCAATTTTTTATACAGGGAGAATTTTTGATATAGGTAGTATATGCGTGATGCTCGGTCAAATCGCTGAAAATTCTACGTTATCAATTCCGGAAATGCTACCGGATCATTTCCGAAAATTTTGAACATTGTTTTTCTATGTAAGTGCAAGTTTTAAAAAAATCGGGCGAAGATAATTTAGGATAGGAGAATTGACTTCTGCAAATTAATTTCCCCAAGAATTGACGAAGATCCTGATTTTTCCAAAAACACCAGTTTTAGTCACGAATGTAGGTAATTTCTTCTTGAACGGATTTGTGAACAAACAAAATTGTAGGTACTTTTACCTACTATAGGATAAGGATAACGAAAATCCACACTTGTTTCGAAAAGATTGCACCTAATTTCCGCAGAAGATCAATGTTTGGGTAGAAGGAAACTTAACAGGGGAGTTATAGTACTATTGGAAGAACTGATAGATCCTCTGATCACACAAGCTTTGAAGAGTCAAAAGTGAACGACAAGGGTGGAGATATGCTTCTAGACGAAGAAAATTTGCACTTTAAGCAAGATCGCGTTTCGCCACATTGTTGACTATTATTGTTGGGGTATTCTGGTAAATGGATTGGCAAAGGGGGTGCCATCAGACATCAGAGAAGGGTCACTACGGTCTCTCGACTTGACTCCGCTTGCTTTAATTTTTTCGGGAACTAGTACTGGTAATTGGAGGTACGAGGTGAATACTAAAATCTAAAACTACAGTAAACCCTCCATTAATTCACCCTTGCTATTAACATGATCGCGTGTATTTTAAAATTTTTGATTTTTTACCATATCACCATCTGGTTAGTGCGCACACTCGCCTACGGCCTGCGCAAGATTCAATTGGGTTCAATCATTGTGTACAATGGTTCAATTATCCACAACAACACTGTTTCTCTATTTACTATACAACCATTGAATTTATAACTATCAAATTCAGTGATACAACTTAGTTGCTTTCTTTTGGCGATCCAAACGGTTGGGATTGTCTTGTTCTTTCTAAGTGTGATCTTATGATAATGATTGCTAAAATCGTGAACAAACTGAGCATAAAAGTTTTATGATCACGAATTCCTAACCTATATAAATGCAAGGATATTTTTGCTCGAATGTTAGGTTATAAGGTTAGTCAATATTTGTAACTGAAGAGGAGCATAATCGTGCAAGTTCTTCCACTTGTATTTAAATTATTTTCCTTTATCCTATCAAAGGCAATGCTGCGCGTTGAAGCCTGGGGCGGCCAAATTTACTTACGGAGCCAAAGTTTGATTAATTTTTCATTTTCGTGATTATGCGATCCTTTAAGTCTCGAAATGTGCAATTAAAAACATTATTGAACAATGGTACATTGTAGTGCACGGAAGTGATAGCAAAAAAACACACGAAAGTACCTATATTGTTTCACAGGTATAAATTATAGGTTAGTTTTCGGTGAAATAACAAACAAATGTGGGCTTTATTTTACGATCATTATTATCATTGAATTCATGCTTGAAATCATGATCGCGAATTAGCCGAAAGAAAGCGCCTCATGTGATTAGTTCAAGTTCAAATTTTCGATTTATTTGAACTACATTCATCACACAAACATTTGGACTAATTAAGGTGAGCGGGTTGTGCACATCTCTACTCGATGTAGGTTGTCTATCACCTGGTTGGAGCGTAAGGTCATTGTCGATAATAATAACAAAAAATCGAAGTTCTTTTTTAGTTTTCACAGTAGTTTTATTTTATCTTGAAATTCTACGGGCTTATCATTTCGTAAAGGGTTTACTTATTTAACCTACAATTAAAATGAGCTTCCTTTTGTAAGTACTTAGTTTTTTCAAGCAAATTAAAGAATCTATTTTTATCTTGTTTTGTAAAGTAAATTCACTGTTGTGTTTCTATTTTCTGCAGTGGAAGTCGTTCTTCGAAAACATTCAAGCCAAAGAAGAATATTCCAGAAGGAACTCATCAGTATGAGTTAATGAAGCATGCTGCTGCGACTCTAGGATCTGGTAACTTACGGTTAGCGGTTATGCTTCCTGATGGCGAAGATCTGAACGAGTGGGTTGCAGTTAATAGTTAGTTATAAGATGTACAAACATGCACATCATTTTATTGATAACATTGTAGCTGTGGATTTTTTTAATCAAATTAATATGCTGTATGGTACCATAACGGAATTTTGTACGGAGGATAGCTGTTCAATAATGTCAGCCGGTCCAAAATACGAATACCATTGGGCTGATGGCCACACCGTTAAGAAGCCAATTAAATGTTCTGCACCAAAGTATATCGATTATCTTATGACGTGGGTCCAAGATCAATTAGATGACGAAACTTTATTTCCATCAAAAATAGGTCGGTATCCTCTTGATTGCTAGAAAATATTTTTAATTTGGATCATTCGTTAGGCGTTCCCTTTCCTAAGAATTTTCTATCAATCGCAAAGACAATATTAAAGCGATTATTTAGGGTTTACGCACACATTTACCATCAACATTTTAGCGAAGTCGTTCAACTAGGCGAAGAAGCACATCTTAATACATCTTTTAAACATTTTATTTTCTTCGTACAGGTAATGAGGTTCAGTGATTCATTCAAAGTCCAAAAAGTAACTTTCTTTGTTTTAGGAATTTAGTCTAATAGAAAGGAGAGAGTTAGCTCCATTACAAGAATTAATAGATAAGCTTACGGCCAAAGAAGCACGATGAATAATTTTCTACTAAACTTCTTACTGCACATTATATTTGCACATCTACTATGACTGCTATCATACTTTTGCAATTTTTTTTGAATGCATAAGTTATTCTTGTCCCCAAAATGTTGTGCACAATTATTTATATTTGTTGTAGTATCAATTAATAGCTACATATACGTTTGATATATGTGATGACTATTTTTTGCTAAGTAGAAGCAAATAGAAAACGTTTGCAGTATTTTTTACACATTTAAGTATCTGCGTTTTTACAATAGTACAGGCCTTCAAACAACAGGCAAATCCAATTCGTGTGAAGATAATTATGGGAGCTTATTATCATGTTAAGTGCAATCGAAATTATTGGTATTACCTGATCGAACAAAATTGATTTGTGTTCCTACTTTTCCAAGTACTTAGATTTAAACAAAATATATTGTAGTATTCTTACGAGTATGTTATTAATTCCCCAGCGCTTTTTTAATTGTAAACCTATGTATGCATTTTCTCGCGTATTTAATCATAGAAATTATTTATTTTTAATAATGTAGTAGTTTAATACTTGCGAGCTTTAAAAGTTCCAACGTTAATAAGAAATGGCATTATTTTTAGATCGTTTACATCAAATCTAATGAATAATAACTAACTGTGAAGACATTTTCTTGTTCTTGACCAAAGTAGGTAAGAATACCGTTGAGCTACGTCACTTTATGTATATACTAAATATATGAATTATACACTTTCTCATTTTATACATTTGTGTTTATTTTAACTGCACTTGACATGTATTTACTTTGGGTTTGTGTTTGGTCTTACTTAATAAGCATAGTTTCTATTGTAAAACTTCTGCTCGTGTTGACCATAAAAATCAGATCATTGCTCATTCTTCCTCTTTGGTGCAAAGTGATAGTGGAAGTTATGGCGTGGCAGGCAACTGATGCGATGATGAGAAGATTTGCGGATAGTGATCTCACCTGCAGGGTTTATTGAAAAAGTGTAGTTAATTTATCCTCGTAATTTAGGCATTAGTCCTCCATTCTAACTAATATGCTTAGCGTTTTCGTTGTATCCTTGGATTAGTTAGTATATAATTTCCACGTCCATTGAGTTTATCCCTTCGAATCTTGCAACTTTTATTTGAAACATTTTTCGATAGCTCTTTTTTTACTAAAATATTTGAACTTTTTAAAAATGTCGATTTTCACTTTTTTCCAATTATCTACGAAACAATTAATTTTTTTCAAAATTTCGCATTGGAATATCCATTAGCGTCAAAAACTACACAACTTTGCCAATTTAACCGAATCGTAAGTGTAATAATAACACAGATACCCATGTTATTCTACTCAATTTAAGACACCCTGTATAGTGTAGTATATAATGTGAGGTTGTACAGGGTGCGCCATGTTTTACACATTTAGTGTATTTGTAGTAATTTATTGTTAGTGCTATCAAAAAAGTAACATAGGCGTCCTGTGCTCTTTTTGGGTCAAACTTGAAATGCTAAGATCAAAATTTAAAAGAAGTGATACAACCTTTACTTACCATACGTACTGCCTGTCTTCTAGACCCACTAACACCTTATCAAGATCAGCAAAACCTAAAGCTTGCAAAACACTCCAATGCAAATTGAAAATAGCAACTTTAATGGAAACAGTTCAATAAAACCATTGTATACAAATAATCTAAAATGTCAATAAAATTAAATTCAGCACTAATTTATAGCAGTTTTGGTTGCTTTTTAATAGCAGTCACGTCTAAAATTCGATCAAAGTGTGGCTTCGGTTCAAGAATGTGAATTGGTGCAGAAACTGCTTCGGGTTTTTCTGCAAGCAAAAATAATACATAAAGCAAATACATAAGATAGAGTACATACCATTCAAAAGATTGTACTTTTGCATATACTGGACGGTAGCGATAGAAAACTCTGGCCTTCTTTTTATATTTGCTGATTGTTTCACATTTTGATAACCCTGTTTATTGTGCGCTACTCTAGTTAATTGATCATTGGGCAAGTATTTCATTAATAGTTGTTTCACAGCAAAACTGACGTCATTTTGGTTACACATCGAGGGCTCGTCGAATCTAGATTGAGAAAAACCATGATCGTGACTAACTGTCGAAAATACGTTGATTCGTATATTGCCTTATGAAAATCAAGTTCGTGCGCATTTGATTGAAATTACATGGATGATGGAAAGAGACACAAAAAACATATAACATAAATAATAATTTCCTACAAAAAGTCTGCGACAGTATACCATCTTTAATTGTTTAAGAATAATAAGCACTAATGTACACAGGGTTATTTAGACAGCGCCTTTATTATAAGAGATAGAAAAGAACTTTAAATACGAAGGTTGTGCGGTTTATCATAAATCGCTAGAAAATGTACCTAAAGTAAAAAAACAAATAAATATCGCAGTTAGTAAAAAATTCAAATTTGATCAATTTTTAATGAAACGCCCTATATATATGTAAAAGATTCACTAACGGTATAGAGGATTAGGGGTATTACACCCCTTAATTAAACACTATACGACAATTTACAATGGGCGTTTATTGAACAGTAACAATGGCTCGATACATTGCTCTATTTCTCGACCGCCTTTCTTGGATGTCGCGTACGAAGTCCCCATATGTGGGCCGCGCTCCTTCGCGCACCCCTTGGTATAATAAAGCTGCCTTAGCGAGCCGTAATAAAACGTGATGTTTTCATGTTTCATGAAGTTCCGCTTACATATATCAAAAATTGAATAGAATTGAATACATATGTTGACATTTGTTTTAGCCGTTTTTAAATGAGCATGAGTTTATATTAGCAATAGATACTTTATGCTTAAATTGGATATAGTCTATAGAAAATGTATTGGAGGTAATGGTGATCACGACTCACGAGTGATCATATCCAACATATACATTGGTCAAACCGTTTAGAAGTATTGAAATAGATCGCTTACATGCACAAATTTAAATGCTTATTATTCTTAAACGGTTCAAAATAGACATATGATGTCACGGAGTTTTCTTATGAGAAAATAAATAGTCAATGTAATGCGCGAGGAAATGAGCGTGACTGTGATTTTTGTAAGAAAACACCATTACACTCAAAGAGCGCAAATGTTGGTCGAAATATGATCTCTGTTTCTTACGTTGCATCGACCATAAAGTAGATTTACTTGGTGCTTATAATTAAGAGGTACTCTTCCCTTATTGTACACAGTGGTTGCTACTAATTATTGAAGAATCCTAACCAATTATAATTTATAAATACAAATGTGTTTAATAATAGTACCTTACAAGTCAAATTTTAGTAGAAGTTACTGATACTTACTCATCTGTGGCTTCAGTAGATGGTATATGCACTCCAATACTGTTTAAATGTTTTATCGTCGCCTGCTTTACTTTTCTCATCATTTTTTGTTTCCTTACATCATTTGAGTCTAGTTCAACTTCACAAGGAGGAATATTTGTCGGTTGAATACCAGATTTTTTTAATATATGATTCACTTGCGCCTATAAAAAAACAAATTTGTAAAATAAAATCATGGTACTTATTTTGGATTGAGTCAATATTTTATGCATCAATGGGAAATCGAGAGGGCGAGGATTAATAAACATCAGCCAAGAACTTGTATAATCGAAAATAAAACTAAACAAGCACATCAATAATTTATGTAATTTGGTGATAAATATAGTTCCAAATAGAAAAGACGAACATGTAAGTGGAATCACTTATGCTGGGTCACTTTCTCTGTCTGTCCCTACTGCTAAGTCGCTATGCAACGTATTTAAGATTAAGATCGGTATATAAAGATTTGCCAAAGTCATATATGATACAAGTAGATCGCGCCAGCGGGATTACACATATACATACAGGGTCTCCCACGACTAATGTCGGCTATCTCTATATCTCGAAAAAGAGATCTTGGAATATTTTGAAAATTTGAGAGCATACTAACGTCAATAAGAGGAATTCATCTGAAATATTTTGTAACTTGGTGGCACTTTCCGTTATACAGGAAATTTATGCCCATTTGTTTATTTTAAATGGAGCACCCTACTTCATTTTTAGATTCTACATAATATTCTATACAGGGTGACCATTTGAAAACGAAACAGAGCCTATTTTGGGAACCTCAAAACATTTACGAAAAAATCCTCGGACCCGTCAATTTTTGATTCAAGGGGGAACCATTTTTTGGCTAATTTCGCCCCCCTAAGGGCAAAGCCCTAGCGGGGGTGACAAGTGCTCCCAAAATTTTAAATCGAATGGGGGGTCGAGTGATAACTTATTTTGAAGGTATTTTTATGTGGATTATAACCCTTAAGTTTTAAATCGCTACTAATTTGCCTAGCCGATACAGGGGCTAATAACTGTTAAAAACGTGTCAACATTTTCTTATGAATTACAATGCTTGTAAATGAATTAGTTAAATAACAAAAATTAATACAACAGTAAATACAAAAAATGTTGTTCTCCTACATTCTGAACCGTACTTTTTGTTGTTGTTTTTTTTCCTTTTAATACCTGTAGGTAGGTGGCTATGCCAATTCTGCAACGGAAATCTTGGTTATTGTTGAGAGCGTTACTATAGCAACATTTTAAAGTTTAATAGTGCTTGTCAATTGTTGTTGTCAAATAATAGTAGTGACAAATACACACCTGTCGCTATTGGGCTGATTCAAACCTCAGAATATTTCGTGAGGTGCATACACATACACAACGTCCCGAAAAATTGAATGTTTGGGCTGGCATTTTTGGTAACCATATCGTAGGCCCCTTCTTTTTACCTGGCAATCTAACAGGAGAGAAGTACTTGAAGTTATTAGAAAATACGATTCATCCAGCATTAGTAGAGATACTAGAAAATAACAACAAGTACTTGGAAAATCGTATAGTATTTCAACAAGATGGTGCGCCACCCCACTATGCTGCAAGGGTTCGCCAATATTTGGACCAAACGTTTCCAGGACAATGGATTGGAAGAAGAGGAGCTATTGAATGGCCTCCTCGTTCCCCGGACTTAAATCTGTTAGATTTTTTTTATGGGGACATTTAAAAACTAAAATTTATGCTAGTCAGCCAACGTCGCTAGAGAACTTGCGACAAATAATAATTGATGAATGTCGTCAAATCACCCCAGAAGTTTTGCAAAATGTACGGGAAAGGTTTGAACAAAACCTGTATTATTGTATGGAAGTCGAAGGCCAACATTTACTTGATTGATTTTAGCTTTAAGCACTTAAAATAAAACTGATTTAAATCTTAAGAGTTATTATCTACATAAAAATACCTTCAAAATAAGGTATCACTCGACCCCCCATTCGATTTAAAATTTTGGGGGCACTTGTCACCCCCGCTATGGCTTTGCCCCCAGGGGGGCGAAACTAGCAAAAAAATGGTTCCCCCTTGGATCAAAAATTGACGGGTCCGAGGATTTTTTCGTAAATGTTTTGAGGTCCCCAAAATAGGCTCTGTTTCGTTTTCAAATGGCCACCCTGTATACATATATAATGTTCTATACCTAAATTTAGCCGATTTTGACATATTTTAATTTTTACATCAAAAATGACGTTTGCAGCCTACATAAATTTGAAAAGATTTTTCCATTGATTTTTTCCGCCGCGGAATCAACACAGCGTAATTTCTGCTACCATTGCAACTACACGGAAGCGACATTACCTCAGCGGAAAGTGATACGTCTTTCACAATGTATCGCTTCCAAATAAACGCTAGAACAGTCGTATTGCAGCGGAAAACCGCGCCCGGTTGCGTTCAATCCGCACACGCTAGCGGAGAAGCGTGGAAATACGCCCGTCTAGTTTATTCCCTATAAGCGCATGTATCTCGTACCAACGTGCAAAACGCTGCGTTGATTCCGCCGCGGAGAAAACGCCCGTCTAGTTTCGCACTAAACGAAATTATGAATTTATTCCATTTGGGTTGTGGTGGTGAAACACTTAATTTTCATCCCCGAAGTAATGATCACACTGTATATCCACAAGCTTTGCTGAATGCCTGGTATCTGGATGCGATTAAAGTTGGAAACGCTAAAACAGTTATTTATATTCGCGCATTGAGAAAGAAGGTATTTTGACGAGGCGAACTGATTACTATTTATTAAATTTGTCTCTGTCCGTGCGCGAAATACTTTTCTTCACTTATGGCCAGTTGCACAAAAAAATCCAGGATTATGGATTAATCCAGTATTAAGACCTTTGATTGGCTTTATATTGCAGTAGGCAGCCAACCAAACGTCACAATTCTTGTTTAAACTCAGATTTGGCAAACAATGTAGGATTTTGATTATAATTCGCTTTCCTGCAACCGGCCGTGAGCAACGTTATTTATTAATTAACCGTTTAAAAATCTAGTACTTCATGCTTCGAAATTCGTCAGAAAATAACAGGATTTTTTGACAGTTGTAGAACAATTTTTATTTCTGTAGAAAACTTTGATTATATACTACTGGATAGCGCATTCATTTAAAATGTTATGTCCTAACAAAAGAGAGATAGACGTATGTTTGTACTTATTCATTGGTTTGTACCAAATCATTATGCGCATGCTTACGGTATAAACTTCGCGCGCGAATAGTCGGACTGTTGAAATCGTTACGTCTATTTTGGAAGTAAACATTTACCTTCACGTTAATTGCATATTATGAACTATTCTCTTTAGAAGCATAAAAACTACGCACAATTATCACGATTAATTAAAGGTACAGCCCTGTGGTGTTTTTCATGATATAGAATCCAGATTGCATATGTCAATGTATAAATAAATGTTCTACGTTATTAACAGAATATTAAAATCTTTAATATTCGTAAATTATTCAACAGTTTGGCGACGAGGATTAAAGAACGGTTACATTAATACATAATATAAATGGCTACATTCACAGGAAGAACAATTTAAAGCTTTATTGGATGTGTTGAAAAGAACACAAACACCACACGTAGTGCAAAACGTGTATGTTCCTCCATTTGAACCTGTTGAATAATTTACGAATATTAAAGATTTTAATATTCTGTTAATAACGTAGAACATTTATTTATACATTGACATCAGTGGCGGCTTGTCCGATGAGGCAAACCTATAGTTTTATAATTTGGCACGTTACGATTATTTAATTGTAACGCCACCATAAATTTAAATCGAAGAACAAATTAAAATTAAAATTGCCCACGAATTTACTTTGCAATTGGCTGCGCGTCGCAGTATCAAAGCGCGAGGCAAATGTGCATCTGCCTCTACAGTTCCATATAATGAAACACTAGAACAACGTAAACTTTCCACGATACGTTTTTAAGTGCTGTATGTTAAACAAGGAACCATTTGAGGCTAGCCTCTGTCCGTTTAGCAGCTCAAGTGTAAAAGAGACGGAAAAGATTCGATGCATCTCCGGAAGACTGTCGTCGGGCGTTCTCGATTGAGGAGCTGCGAATTCTAAACTGGGAGAACGACGTATGCCGATTGTGTATGATCGAATGAAAATATTGCATTACAAACATTCATATTAAAATTGGCGGTAGTGGAAGCGTCCCGTTCCTGATTTAAGTAAATCGTTAATTAACGTAAGCAAGCAGCTGTTGGAAATAAAATAAAGCTCTTATTAAGACCTGGTATGAAAAAGTGATTGGCTCACACGTGACATTTATGGTTTAAATAACGCGGTTAAAATAGTCGCTAATTGTCAAATAAATTTAAGGGCAGGATTGGAAACCGCCTGTAAAATTAAGTACCATGCCCAACTGACAAAGAAAATTTCTTACAATGCTCATCAGAAAATGCGCCCATGCATGCAGTATACCTACAATGTACGTACTGTGTCGTGTATCAAATACGAGTAGGTAACAAGGTACCTTCTTTTACTTTCAATGTCTACTGTATAGGTACACCCATTAAAATATAGGAAAAAGCATTAATTTTTTTTAACTTTTGGGGTAAGAAATTGCCAAATTGTAGCTAAACTGATTTTTTCGGAGACCCCCCCCCCCCATGTCCAGCCTCACCAGCTACGTAACTCATGAGCCGCCACTGATTGACATATGCAATCTGGCTTCTATATTATGAAAAACACCAGTCTCCCCCTCTTGAAATTCACTTGTGGAAGATTCCAGAATCAGCGCGTAATATAATCATCCAAGTATGCTGGCAATCGCGTCACTCTTCTTGGCCGGTGATACTGCTCTTCATCAACTGGCAATTGCACTTGTTCTGAAACTGGGTGATGTTGAGAATCCGGCTGTATTTGTTGACTTGGTCCTTGAGCATCAGACACAAAATGTTGATAGTCATCATTCCGTGATGATTGCTCCAAAGGTGTAATTTGAAATTGTACTTTTTTTATATTTGTACGGCGAAGTTGATTAATATGACGTTTTAACGTTCTTCCTTCGTCCAATTTTACAAGGAAGTGAAGTTGGCCTAGTTTCTTTGTAATAGAACCTGGTTTCCAAATTCTTTTCTTGTTTATAAAAAATTGGGCTACTACTCTCTTATTAATGCCTGACATGCGCAATTCAAATTGGTACAAACTTCTTTTATCTCATTTCTTTTCACTGAAAAATTATAGCTAGGTATGTGGGTTGCACGAATTGGAACACGGGTTGTACTCTTCTACCATTAAGAATGCGCTATCCAGTAGTATATAATCAAAGGTAGAAAGCATTGTACCATGGTAGAAAGTATAGAAGTTTGACATTGACGTTTGACACCTTTTGTCATGTAGAAGACAAGGGCAAATTAATATTTTAGAATTATTAGATAATGTTGCTTTCCTATATTAATTTAAAATGAGCATTATAGCTACCAAGCCATGCAGGTTTACCCCGGTAACAGTTTGATGAGACGCCTTTTGCCTGACCTGAGAAATTCAAGACACAATAGGTGTTAATTATAGAAGTATGTATAAGATTTTAAAAATTTCATCTGGCCCATTTAAGTGCTTATAATTAACATTAAATGAGTTGCAGAACAGCATCCGATTAAGTTGTAAAAGGTTTCATTAGAAGAGTGTTTAATTGCGATTTTGGAATGTCCCCAATTTTTACCCAGAAGTCAAGAAATTAATTAAAGAAGTTTAAATTTTTGGACGTTCTTATCCGAATACACTGGGCTGGTTGGGAAAATCGGCGTTCCGTCGATGGCACGGCCGAATATTATAAAAGGTAAAGCCGCTGTTTAGGGGAGCTCTTTCTGCCTTTGGCAACGTAGATAGCTTTTGGAAATTTTTTACTTTAGGTACTAGTGTATTTTTTTTTGAGATTTTAGCACCGCTCCGTTAACTTTAAAGTTAAGAATTTGCTATCTTTTTTCCGTTAATTATAAGGGGGCTTTGCTCGTCCCGCTTTTGATTTCTGTAGCTACTGTTCATTAATTCATTAACGCTTTGTTGCTTGTGTTCTCTATAGAGATCGTTGTGTTGTAGACTTTTCGCCAGTGACCGCTGCCATATACCAGCGAGATCCCCAGAGTTGATCGGATCGGCCGCCTCCCTTGGTGGCACTTTAGCCCGTCCGTCCGTCCACTCGTTCTGTCGACATCACATTCAAGTTGCCGAAGATTGCCGCTACTTTCGTCTGCTGGTGTGATTAATTTACAATAATTTGTACATTTATTTATTTTTTTTTTAATTAAATTGTAATCTTTATTCCGCTAATTATATTGCTTAATTTTCATGCCACTTGTGCGCGGACTACCGAAGTTCGTCGCAGTGGTATATATAATAGCTTAGTGTATATGTCGTAGGCATATTGTAAAATCAGTCATTTTATAATACGCCTAGGCAGTTTTATGTCGTAGGCATTTTGTAAAATCCGTCATTTCTAAATTGCGGAGTCATTTCGTGAAATGCTGACTTGTGGGGTTGGGGTAGTTTTCCTTCCCCTTCTAGATGCGTAAGGGATCGCTCTTGAAGAGGAAGGGAACCAATCGCTTACCTCTAGAAAGTACACTGCCCGCGTTTTATAAACTGCCTAGGCGTATTATAAAATGACTGATTTTACAAAATGCCTACGACATATATATTCTTTACACTATGATAATAGGCAGCGTACCTTAGGCGCTTTCTTTCGGGTACTTCGCAATCATGATTTCGAGATCGTGATTAGTAGGATCACGTTTTACGAAAGAACGCGCGAATTTAAATCAAAGTATGGTTAAGTTTACGTAGTGCAGATTTGCATTCGAATTATGTATTTTTTGTTTGGATTATGAAAATAATTTAAATACAAGTGGAAGTACTTGCACGATTATGCTCCTCTTCAGTTACAAATATTGACTAACATTTGAGCAAAAATATCCTTGCATTTATAGGTTAGGAATTCATGTCAAAAAAATTTTATGTTCGTTTGTTCACGATTTTAGCAATCATGATTATAAGATCACACTTCGAAAGAACGTGATTTGACAATCCAAACGCGTTTGGATCACCGAAAGAAAGCGCCTCTTACACCACAAAAATAATTGTGAAATCAACAGTGCATGGTCAGGGCCGGCTCAAAGCAAAAATTACGTGTAGGCAAGCATTAAAATTTGCGCCTCTTCCCGCCTTGCTTTAGCCTGAATAATAATGGGAACTTTTGGTAAACATGATTTTAAAAATACAGGGTGTTAATTAATGTCATGCAGATTGATGTTCTGTGATAATAGTTTTAAATTTGATACATCGATTATTTTTTAGAATCACTACAATAAAGTATCAAAATAGCGGTAGACAGGGTGTTACATTTTCTTTGCCACCCTGTATAACGAAAACGACGCGTTTTAGACGATGCATATATTTGCATTTTTTTCTTATTTTGGCGAGTATTATCATCCCCTGAAATATCTGCTTGACATTAATTCACAGCTTGTATGCATATTTAAAACATTTATTACTAGCAGACTCGGCGAACTTCGTACCACCTATCGGTCAATGTCCCGCTAATTCCAATTCAGCGGAGTTGAGTATTAGATTATTTGTATATTTAAAATTGTGGTCTCAAATTTTTTTGAAAAGTAAAGTTGTACAAAAATGCTCGAGTTTTCCGAACAGATAACGCTTCTACTGTTTATAAATATGCCTCACGTGTACGGATTTTTACGTCCGTTCCGCCGCGCTTCGCTCTAGTGAGCGACACCCTTAATTATACTGGAACGCGCGCGATCCGAGAGAGAGTGCCACAGGGGGTACAGACTGTATTAGGACAGTGGCGCCAATTTAAAATAATAAAATAAAATCATAAATTGTTTGATTGTTAAGTATCAATATTAGCGTTTGGCAAAAAAATCGATTAATCGATTATAATCAAACGATAATCGATAATCGGATTGGATTATCCTATTAAATTAATCGATTAATCGATTATTTGATTAATCGATTATTTGATTAATCTATTATTTGATTAATCGATTATTTGATTAATCGATTATTTGATTAATCGGTTATTTGATTAATCGATTGTTTGATTAATCGATTATTTGATTAATCGATTGTTTGATTAATCAATTATTAAGTAAATTTTAATTGATTATTATTAGCTGGATCATTAGTTTACGCAAAAAGGAGCACTCACAGCTCACAAGTATTATTTTATTTTATAGCGGATGTTAAAACGTCACTTTAAGCAGCTAAAATGAATTAAAGATTGTATCATCAAAACTAATAAGCACACCTCATCGGAGAGTAAGCTGCCTAATCATTTATTTTTATTTATTTATTTTTATTTTTGACCTTCATTTTCAAATGGACAGGGTTTCAGCCAAGGCTGTTCTACCAACCAACCCACTATGCATTTGCAAATATCCATGCCCGAACCCGGATTCGAACCAGGGACACTTTGTTGGTTATTGATTAATCGATCTGCCTAGTAATGAACGATTTGATGAAAAGAATAATGGAATTATTTTTTATTTTTATTATTAAATAATTAACGTATTAATGCATACAAACAGATATTTATCACTCCTTGTACGTGACAATCGACTTTTGATTAAACGATTAGGTGATTAATCGATTATTTGATTAATCGATGATTTGATTAATCGATTATTTGATTAATCGATTATTTGATTAAACGATTATTTGATTAATCGATTATTTGATTAATCGATTATTTGATTAATCGATTATTTGATTAATCGATTATTTGATTAATCGATTAATCAGTGTAATCGATTATTTTTCATAATCGATTATCGATTATTTTTCATAATCGATTATCGATTATTCAAACCCGTAATCGCCCAGCCCTAATCAATATACCTTGTCATGTCAAATTGGGACTGTACAAATGTCAGTTTCATTTGAAGATTCTCGTTCAAAACTATCGGCGCAAAAATGATCGTTTATAACTTTGCAGAACAACCTACGGGGAAACCACTGCCTCCCAAATTCAAAAAGATATAATTAGATGTTACAAGTTCCACGTTATTTAGCTGTTTCCCAACCATTGAACTCTAAAAACAAACTAGAGTTCACTGTTCGCAACCCACTGTTAGGGCCCCACAGACTTCCAACTTGTTTGTCTGATTTGCACGATGTGGAAATCAGTTGGCACGATCGGACAAAGAAATCGGAAGTGCATTGGTAAAATCGGACGTACTTGTACGTTGTGTAAAATATCAACATCCGACTTTTTGCCTTCCGATCGAACAAACACGAGGTTCGACATAGGTACCATCCTATTTACACGTCATGCAAATTGGACGACCAAGTCGGAAGTCTGTAGGACCCATAAGCACTTTTTGTAATTTGCTCAGTTACAAGAAAGCAGTTGTGTATACAAACTGATGTCAAGGAAATCTTTCATATGAAGCTATTGTATTTACTACTATCAAATTCTACGTTGCCAAACATATCATTCGAATTGAAATGACAAGCGTTATGAAGGATACACACGAATACGAACCAATTCGAGTGAGGTAAAGAAAGGGCCCCAGCTTGCAAAATTCGCCACTCGTTTTATGTTTCAGCGTAATAATGACTCGTGTTTTAACCAATCACACTGAAGGTCAAAGCTTCCCTATGCGTTCTATCGCTACCTTCTTAAAATAAATACAGTATAGTAACGTCACAGTAACGTGAAGCCGTGTCAAAACAATATAATTAATAATTATAGCACGGTGTATACTGCGTCGTTTTGGAGGATTTTTATTTGCAATTTAGCTCCAATATGGCGACCGGGACGAACGACCAATCAAAAACGAGATACCCTGTTGTCACCACTGTTTTAAATTGAGTCACTGTGAAAAGGGGGATCTCTGTCCTACTCTAGCGCATGCACAGAGCAGTCCAGGGTGACAATTTGAAAACTTACCACCCCCCATATCTTAGTAAATAAACGAGATATTTAAAAAAATCAAAATCCGTTTCGCTAATTCGGAGTGGGAATCACAATGACATAGTTGGCGACGCACCCCCTCCAACCCCCTGCGCCCCAGCCACCCCAACTTTTAAATCTTAAATAGTGACCCCCCCATGTGTGATACGTCGTCGGAAAGCTCTGAAAAAATGCTTTCCAACCATACCAAATAGCATTACATTTAGGTTAGTAATTATCGTGCAAATCAAAAAATAAACTAATATGATACATTTGAAATGTGTCGTATTTAAAACGCAACCGGCGAACATAGACAAACTAAGACAGAGCATAATTCAAGAATGTCGAAATATTGCAAAACCAACATTTTAAAAGGTTCGACAAGAGTTTGAGAATAGATTATAACTGGCGATCAAAAATGAGTTACTGTCGAGTCGGCTTTGGATGAAGTTCAAGTTAAATACGATTTTCCATGTAAACATAAATTTCAAAGGGCGACTCGACAGCAACTCATTTTTGATCGCATAGTAATACTGTCTTACCAATAACGGAAAACATTTTGAACATTTATTGAAATAAAAGCCAACTTTAGAAAATGTATCATATTAGTTTATTTTTTGATTTGCACGATAATTACTAACCTAAATGTAATGCTATTTGGTATCGTTGGAAAGCATTTTTTCAGAGCTTTCCAACGACGTATCACACATGGGAGGTCACTATTTAAGATTTAAAAGTTGGGGTGGCTGGGGCGCAGGGGGTGCGTCGCGTTATGTCATTGTGATTCCCCCTCCGAATTACCGAAACGGATTTTGATTTTTTTAAATATCTCGCTTACTTACTAAGATATGGGGGGTGATAAGTTTTCAAATTGTCACCCTGTATAAGTATAGTTCAGTGGTTCGCACTGAATATAATTAACAAAGCACATTAATTCTACTCAAGCGGTTTTGCACCTTTTCCATGGAGTTAGAAGTGACCTTTTCTAACAAGTAAATAGTAAATAACTTATTGGATCGACGTTATGTTTTGCTGAACAAATTTAACACCACAACAGCTAAGCTTCCCATTTGGAAAGATGGGTTAAAAAATAAGAGAAACAATAAGAAGTGTTTTGAATGACACCCTACACGAGAATGTACAAGGTGCAACGTTGAAAATAGCACTAAAAGTTAATTTCTGGTACGCAATTATTAAGTTAAATTTCAAAAACATTGGACTTGAAAATTCGTTTCTGAGATCTTAGACCTTGCGAGTGATTTTTGGGAATTGATCATACCTACGCCATTATGATTATGAATATTAGAAACCTACCATAATATTGTTGTAGAAAGTCCAGGCAGGATTAGCGATCTCATCCTCTTCGCTGCTAATGAGAAGATATTATTGTATCAACAAAATTATTTGCGATTGCTATACTTACTCGGAACTGTAATCTTTCATATCAACTCGGATACTATTAACAGGCGTCGGGCAATTCTCTCTAACTTGTAACTGTGGTTCGCTTAAAGAGAATGACAGATCCGTATCGTTTGGTTTGGGAATACCATCCAGGATGTTTCCGTTAGAGGAATTGCATTCGGTTTCATTTATTTCGCAAATCTTCGGCGGATAAGGTAAATTATTGCACATTTTATTAGAGTTTGGAGGTCTGCGAATGGACACCTCAAAACTGGTCATGACATCTAATGAGATTTGTTGCAAACCCGGTTTTTTAGGCAGAAAACCATGATGATGTTGATCTGATTGCAAATTTGTTTTATAATCTTCATTAAAAATGTTATAATTATCAGTGGGTACCGTTTGTCTTGGATTTGAAGGTACCTGATTGTTGAGAAGGGTTGTAACTTGTTTTTGTAAAATTATAATTTGTTCATTTAATTGCTGTATTATTTTTAAAAGATCTTTTATTGTTTGATCGTTGTTATCCCTTTGGCAATTGCATCCACCGACATTGTCCCTTGTGCTAATTGCATTATGAGAAAAACCTGAAACTGGATCACTGGAAATAGTGGGATCAGTTTTCTGATTGTACAGGTCCACAACACGATTTTTTTCAGTGATACCACTTTCGTTAGTACCTCTAAATCTCGGCAATCTTTCTTTAGAAAACCAACTGTCATAGGCAGTGCTAAACTGATCTTGTTTAGCTTTATTCGACTTTGATTCAGTAACTACTTTCTCAACGTTAAGATAATGTCTTGTTGGCATATCTGCGGCTGGTATATTAGGGTCTATATTTTCAATATTCTTCATATGTGAAGGGTTAGAGTCTAATATGCTTAATTCCAATTGTTTATTAGGTATATTAGCCATATATATCTGATTAAAGGGTATATTTTTATTTTGTGTAAAATGTGTAGGTTCAGGTCGATTTGTTGGTTGTGCAGACATCTCAGGAGTTCGCTCGAGCGATATGTTATCAAACCTCAATTGCTTTCTTTGAGAATTCTGTGAACATCCTTTATTGTTACCAACTTGAGAATTGTCCTTTTTATTATGATCTTTCCAAGCTTTATATGATAAATAGACACTGTCGGCTGTGCTGTCAGTGGTTTTCGAACGATTTGGGAAGATCATTGAAACTTCTGGTACAATTGGAGCAGATGCAATAATAGGAACCTAATAAACACTCGTGATCATTGAGAAGTTATAATTTTAAACCTACTTTTCCAATTGTAGACGGTTTAGGTGCACTTCGAGGTAATTCACAAAACGAATCCATTTTCTGTCACAATTTAAAATATTTTGGCAAGCGCAAGTGACGGTTTATAACCTAAAAAATTTTGAATTGAACAGTGGTGCCGTTTTTATACATAGTTGCCAGATAGAAAAGTCATACATGGTATTTTTAACATAAAGCTTTGTACATACAGTACGGACGTAAATAGTCCATTCCCGACATAGAAATGCTATTCCATGAATTAATTCATGTCGAATTCGCTAAATGAATTTTTGTCAGAATGGCCAGCAACTTTTCTTCAAAATCACTTTTAGGACTAGGGTCTTTGTAATTGGAGGTCCCCCATCAGTGCCTTGTTGTAGTGCTGTAATCTGTCTACTTTTTTTCTTAACTTTCGTTTTCCATTCACTGAAGAGATGTATTCAACATTTATTGCAGATTGCTTTAATTATAATTCATTTTCACATTTTGCCACTGATTTCCTCTTTTCTGCGGTCTGATTCCTTTAGCATTGCTGCAAATGAATTCCATAATGCACTTAATTTAGTTACTTCTATCGGATTGATCTTCCCCTTCCTATATAATTATATACTAACTAGCTGACCCGACGGACGTTTTCCTCTTTTTTAGCTATGATTGCTATGAATACCTATTCAATTCGGACTGGAATAAATAATTAGAAAAAATTATTTCAACAATTTGCTGTGGCTAGCACAGGTACCACCCACCCCACCTGCGCATGCACGATTCTTTCTTTTTATATCTAAAGCCCGTTTGTAACGATCACTTATTTTTAGTGCTTTTTTTCTTCACTAAAGATAATGCTATCCTAAAAATGTCATAAATGATGAAACTGTATGTGACATTCCATAATATTGTCAATTTTTTAGTACCTGTAAAATGTAAACATTTGTACATAACCTATGTTATATTAAATCTGGAGACTAAATATTTATCTTCTGTAAACTAAGGTCTCTATCTACTGTCAACGTATTATAGTGAGGTTTAAAAATGAATATAAATTTAATTTTAATTTTACAAATTCCCTATAATCTGTCAAAAGTTACTAAAAAATTGAGGGAAAATAATAGGACAGGTTCTAAACATTACAAAAATAGGACAACTTTCAGTTCCTAAAATAACTACCAAAAAATTGATCAAAGTTGATGTATGAAATGTTCAATTTTTTTGTTCCTAAAAAAATTATTTAAAAATTGACTAAATAAGGGATCGTTACAAACGGGTTTAAGAATATGTGTAGCAAATTTGGTTTAAATCAGTTCAACCGTTTAGCCGGAAAAGCGATTTACTTGCCCCAAAATCTCCCCAAATTTCTCCAAAATAATAAAAATTAAACGCACTCACTTCTAGTTGCTTTTGGCGATTCAGAGCTAGCAACGTTCCTTTTTTTTTGTTGCGCCAAATGCCGTAATTTGAAAGCAATTACCTATTGTATTTCTGTATATGAGTCAAAAAATGTATAGAATCTGGCCAATTTCCGGAAACCAAGAAATGTAGTGCCTCTGGTGACGGGGTCTTATTCTGTGATTTTAATTAATAACAAATTGCAACTTTGACGTTTCTTTCGCATGCGCAGATTGTACGGAGATTTAGGCCTTTTATCTCAACGTGAAAACCGACTGCAATGTATCAAATTAGTTGACTAGGTTCCACTATGGTGGCACTGTATTTTGCTAGTTGTTCTGAGTTCTGAAACCTCTGTATGAAGCATGGTCTGTGGTATGAAGTGATGATCTGTGGTATGCAGTTGTTGACATTAAACATGACCTAACCGTGTTGTTCTATCAAAAAATAACCTTAACCTTAGGTTTGATATGTTATTATGTTATAAAAAAAATAATATTTCACTCTAAAAGACAATACAAGACGGAAATGTTGTGCTTAACATTAATCACGTATTTATCATTTGTTGTTCAAATCTCATTTGTTACTATAGCGGTAGGTAAGTTTCTAATTTATCGTATAATCAAATTTTAATCCGTTTTACAATAATTCTATGGACAATTGGCCTAGTACAAGTCTACAATTATTGCTAATTTGTACTGCCCGGTTAAATCAATGGAATTACTGTAAATCTTCAATACTATTTACTTACTCACAACTTGTGTAGCTGCGGGATTGTATTACTTAGCGGAATTCGTAGAGGAATACACCGTTTTAAGTAAGAAAATAATTTGGTGGATGAATTCGGTAAGTAACTGTACTTTGCATTGCTCAGACTTACGTTGCTTGTATTTCAGGGCAGTCTAATAATATACATACTTCTTTGGCTGTTTGAGGGATTTCCGTTATTATTGGTGAGCTGTGGAATATTGGCACAAGTGTCTCACTTTGTAATTTTAACGGATTTTCCATACATATCCTTTTTATCCCCTTCGTTTCTAATCGCAATAGCGTTCATAGTGATAAATCATTATTTAGCATTTGATCACTTTGGTAATGTTATGTACTCTTTTTCTGAGGTAAGTTCACATTTAATTATGATTAGTCTAATAATACTTCTACAGTTAATGGCATATTTCACTTTATGTTTATGGCTTGTACCATTTGCCCTTTTCCTTTCTCTGTCAGCTAATGAAAACGCATTACCTACAGTTAGAGAGACATCTGGTAAGTGTGCGAAATATTGTATACATTCAAATTTTATGTGTTTTAGATGGGGACGTAGTCAGTAATTACTTTTCAAAAAAAGAGAAGAAGTATGGATTATTATCCCTATTCAATTATGCAAAAGAAGCCATTTTGCCTCACCAATCAAAGAAGGGATTTTAAACAACTTGCTCAAATTTCGAAATACTAAAAGAAATTTGTAAATATTTTTTGATTTAGTAGTTACTTTTTATTTATTGAATAAATTAGGCACACTATTTAGAGGACATTGTGTTAATATTAGTCATTCACCAAGAACATGATTTTTAAACACATTTAATTCCTTATACTTACTTTTCTGCAGGTGCTAAGCTAAATGCTTTTCTGAATAGGAAGGGTGGCACTGCGCATGCGCAAAACAATAATTTGAAAAGGTCATTATTTTCACTTATACTAGGGGAGCTAGCTTGAAATTCACTGAACAAGAGTGATCCAAATTTTAACCGATGTAGTTCTACTTTGGCCTATGTATGCTAAAATCGACCGTCCTCTGCCTCAGGTCATATCACTTAAGGCGCTGCGGTACCAATTCTAAATGGTAGTTTTTTGATCGCCCACTTCAGAAATAAATCACCCTGTATAAAAATTGCAAATTCGTTGAAAATATTTTTAAATTGTAGAATTATAAGAGTCCTTCAACATACCATATGGCGATAATGAATTTTAAATATGTGCGGTAATAAACCCACAATCTTTCCCCCACGCGCTAATGGCCCACTCTGTATAATCTGAATTTGGTGAAAAACACCATGTCCTGCGGACCGTAGTGAAAGCATCGGCAAGGAAAGGTAAAAATGTCAAATTGTACTGGAAAAATGTAATTTCGTTACTTTAAATGGTAACCTCTATTTTTTATTGCATTTTTGGATTCTATGTGAAATTTCAGTTCTTTTGATACCCATATATCGATATCTGCCATTTATAGTTTCTAAGTTTTTTTGACTAAGAAAAAAAATGGCGGATGCAGATGATAACTTGATAGTTGATTACTTGAAAACGGTTGTAGTCATGGCATCCCATTTTTATCAGTACATACAGAATGAATAGGGCTTTCTTTTAGTGCTCTTAAAAAAAGTTAAGTTGCGTACGACCACCCCTATGGAGATTCAAATTTAAGAAACTTCAAAGACTAAAAACTCAGTTTTTTTATGGAACCCTTTTCTTACTATTGCATGAGGTAAAGAATCGAAATGGGCATATTTAGACAATACATGTTCCTATAGCTATCTTTAACTGTTTCTGGCTTAAATTCCCATTTTATTGAATTGACACTATTTTTTCGGATTTTCTTTTTAGTAGTCGGCCAACAATCGAATTTTAAACAACCAATTCGTCACCTGTTATAGGTTAAAAGTTTTTCAAAAATCGAATAAGTAATGGCTCGCAGTGGTTTTACCTACTTTGGAATTTAATTTTTATTTATGATGAAATGGACAGAATCGTGGCACGTGCTTGCCGTATATTCATTCGAACACTGGAACGAAATTGTATGAATTTTGGAAATTTTGTACCCCCAAATGCACTACAAACCGTTGAATCACAAGTGATACAAAGCTCTACAAGAGAATATTTAAGAAAATGAATTGAATTGTGTTTGCAACACGAAGACTCTCATTTTGGACATGTGTTGAAGAAGAGAAGGTTTTAAATAACTATTATCCTATTTTCATATAAGTTTGTGTTTTTTAATTAGGTATAGCTGCGATCACATTGCTGTCTTTTTTATTAATGGATTATTTAGACTAGAATCAATGATATTAAAGAATCCTTTCCTTGATTTGTTTAATAGATATTTATTTTATTACTTAGGAGTATAAGTAAGTTATACTTTATGTGACTGAGTATGTAGCGAGGCGAGTTAAATTCATACGAGTCACATAAAGTAACTTATACTTCGAATGAAATACTATATTTTATTTTCAAACGTAATTTACATATAATGTAGGAAATAGGTCAAGATGCACTCAATAGGTACCGCAAATAATATCAGCATAACATTGCTTTGTATCCATGACTACAGTATAACTCAAACTGACAATTTCACTAACGCAAACTTGACAATTTTCGTTTTTGTAAAGCAGTTATCTACCGTCTACGGGACCGAGATGGTCCTGTATATTCAAGATGCCAAATGGGAAGGAATATACTGGTCATTTCGAGGACTTCTTCAACTTTGTTGCCAGATTGCAGAGGTGATATTACTTGTTTAACACAGACATGGAGGGTGGAAATCTGATACAGTTGCTGCAGGGTACATATCGAAGAATCGTTATAGAATAAAGAAGACATTGCCACCAAGATCCTTCTGCATGATACAGTGAAAACTCATAAAGATTTGAAGATTTCAGAATCCAATACAAGCCCAATGTTACAAAATGCCACTTTAAATAATTGCACGTTTAATTTTAACGTCAAGTAGAATAATTTTCTTCAAAAAAGGTATAGTTTTGTTTGATTTGATAAATAGAAATATACAGGGTGATTCCTATAGTACCTGCCACCGTTTGGGAGCGTGTAGGTGGTGCGTAGGGGAGTATTTTGATATAGGACACTTGGGGTCGGAAATCTAAAATAAGGGTGCCAGAGCCAAATTTACCTTCTGAAATTTCGCGCCTGTAGGTAGGCAACCCAACCGGCCGGCGGTGCACACGGAGCGATCTCAGGCGGCGATGTGTGGCTGACACTTGATCAGAATTTTGTTTAAACCCACGAAATCCCGTCTGCAACGACGCGTATCAAGTGAATAAACACTATGGCAATAGTATAATAATAGTTGGCTAGATGTAGGAAGTGCATTGAGAACAACGGTGGCCACGTTGAACACTTGTAAACGTTATTGCTTTTGACTGTCGTTTTCCCTCCTTCCCTCCCATGTCGCTTCCTCGCGCTAACTCGCTCTGCATCGCTCCGCGCGAAACGTCGGTCGGTTGGGTTGCCTACATACAGGCGTGAAATTCCAGAAGATAAATTTGGTTCTGGCGCCCTTATTTTAGATTTCCGACCCCAAGTGTCCTATATCAAAATACTCCCCTAGGCACCCCCTATACGCTCCCAAACGGTGGCAGGTACTATAGGAATCACCCTGTATAGTGGAGCGAAATCGGGCCAAAAATGTGAAATTTTTTTCGAGGTATAACAAGATCAGACCTAGCAGAGTATGTAGATATTGTAATTCTGCATCCGAAATGGTGTTTTACGACATTTTCCGGTGGTCATGACATTTTTTATAGTCAAAAAACCACTCAAAAGTGTCTTAATAAAAATTTATGTTTTTAGAGATTTACATACCTACTCTACTAGGTCTGATCTTGTTATACCTTCAAAATTTTTTTTCCCATTTCTAGACGACTTTTTTGCCCGATTTCGCTCCACTAATAAAGTTTGTGGACGTAAATGCTAAATGTGTATTTTGTTTTCACTAGAGTGGCGTATAAATGTTATACGCCGCCGGAGTATAATACTTATACGCCGCTCAAAATAGGTGTCAAAAAAGTGACACTTAAACCTTCATAAAACTGTCGCTATAACTACAGTTAAACGACGTTTGAAAATAAAATTAGATTGTTATAAAATCATGGCCAACTACTAAAAAGAAAATGCGAAAAAAATGGTATCAATTCAATGAAATGAGAATAAATAATCTGAAACTGTTAAAGATAGCTATAGGAACATGTAATATCAAAATATGCCAATTTCGATTCTCTATCTCATGCAATAGTAAGAACATGGTCATTCCATTTAAAAAAGACTGAGTTTTTAGTCTTTGAAGTTTCTTAAATTTGAATCTCCATAGGTGCGGTTGTACGCAACTTAACTTTTTTTTAAGTAGGTATACTGAAAGAAAGCCCTATTAATTCTCTATGAACTGATAAAAATGGGTTGCCATCCCTTAAAGTCAAAATAACTTAAAAACTATAAATTGCAGATATCGATATGTGGGTATCAAAACAACTGAAGTTTCACGTAGAATCCAAAAATGCAATAAAAAATAAGGGTTGCCTTATAAAGATAACGAAGTTACTTTCTACTTCCGGTATTGCAGCCATTTTGAAAATATTTTACATCGATTCGGCTTTCAGAACAACTCCTAAGTACGAATTTTCAAAAACCTACCCATTTTACTTTCCCAGAAACGTTTAACTAAAGCTCCCAAAAAAACACCCTGTACCCATTGGGTATAATGAACAAGTTCCTGCACAAAAATATTAGGTAGGTACCTAACCAATTTCTGTAACGATTTTAATTTTGTTTTCCGAAAAAGGTACGATCGTGTTAATAATCGACCATTAACCGGTAGGTACTGAAAAGGAAACGTCTTTAAGAGTAAAATGGAAGGATGATCGATTATAATTTCTTATCTTACGAACTTTTGCAACTAAATGAACCAATTCATCATTTATAATGGGGTTACTCTTTTTAGTTAAATATAATTTGCGCCACATATTCGAATAATTTATTATTCCACGATTCCACCCTACTGTGAGAACATTTGTGGAGCATCGTGCACGTCACTTTGTGACAATAAACAGGTGTTGAAGCTTTTGCGAGGTTTACAGTCACGAATCAAAGTTCGTACTAGATTCTTGCCACCTTTATATATTGAGTGATATTTTTCAGTAACTACCTGCTATTTTCTACTTTACTGCGTGACGTGAGTTCATACAGTTTCAATTTTCACGTAAAGGTTGGTATTGTAAATTATTGGCCGCCCATAGATAGGTACCTAATATCGTTTCATTTTTTATTTTTTACTATATTTTATGAGTGCGCAGTTTTTGATTTAAATTTCTCTGTTTAGCTAGGTAGGTACTAAATTAACTGATATTCGGTTTCAAATCAAAAACAAAAATTCATACCTCAATGTGCGTTGTTTCTTCATTATATTCATACGGAATGCGGTGTTAATTTTGTATACTACCCGCAAATAAGAATTATAATTATATGCATCAACAAATAAGGACTATAGCTACTCCTTTCATGTGAAATAAATGTATCACAAAAATTTTAGGTTAAAAATATGAACTATTTATCTTTACTTCTATATTTTCTTCTTAATTATGTTTGTGCTCAGTATGCGTATTCTATTCTCCACAAAAATTTCAAAAAATGCGCTGTTGTGGCCACTTTGTCCGTACGTCCGTCTGTCCGCCCCTGCAGCCGTTCGGTCGCTACTAGTTCGTTATCTTAGGAGCTATTGTTCTACTTTTTTTCGTTGTTTCGTTCGTTACGGTGTCGAGGCTTGCACCAAGAAAAGAATTTTTTTCTATGCCGCTTACGAAAAAAGTTATGGTAAAAAATCTATTTTCTTCATGTACTTATCATTATTTTACACTTTTGCCGTTTATTTACGATCCTCGAGATCGTTTCTAATTTTGTATTACTGTGTGTCTATCTGCTCGTCCGTCTGTCTGTCTTCGTCTGTCTGCCTGTCTGTCTGTCAATCTGTCTGTCTGTCCATGTGCAGTTATGCACGATAACTCTGTTGTATTTACACAATCTAATTTTGTATTTGTTAAAATACTTAAATTAAATTTTGCATGTAGGCATCTCGAATAAAGGTAAAATTAATGACCGAATCAATAAAAAATTTGATTTGAGAGTAGGATTCTTCTGAAATTAAAGTAGCACGTCAAAAATGGATTGCACATGTGCAACGCTAACTATGTATCTAACGTGAATTATTATTTTCCTTTGCAATTTTTGTCTAAATTTTATAAAAATCAACCTATAGACTTCAGAAGAAGCATCGGAATTCGGTTTTGCGAGATATCCAGTCAATTAGTCATCTGTTTAAAGAAACAAAAACAAACAAGTACAAATTGTGCACAACCCTTGTGCAGGTAAAGCGCATTTTTTTAAACACCCCTACGAAATTTCTTCCATAAATAAGAAAGTTGGCACTGCACATCCTACACAAAAGCAAATTTGGAAAATGGCGCTACTTTTGCTTTTATTCCAAGCGGCTATGTATCAAATTTCATTTAAATGCCCAATGGTTATATTTCTTCCAAACGTCCCAATTGCCCTTTGTAGGTACTCGTACTTTCCTTTGACAATTCACTCTTAAGATATAAGGAATTATAACCGATCACGACAAGGGATCGAGGAGGAAGACTATGGTTAGTATAAATTAATTCCTTTCGTTGAGACCTTTCATTAGAGTACCAGTACTAGTTCCACCCCCCCCCCTCCTTTCCCCCTCCACCACGTACTTTGATAAGAGGACAAAAAGAAGGGCAACTGTTCCTTTCGTTGAGACGTTTAATTAGAATACCTACAATGAGAGATAAAATTTATTTTTAACCCGTTTGATGAAGAAGCAAGTAAATATAGTTTTCGAACTTCGAACATATCTCGGTTATTGGTTGCTATTACTTTTAATCTCGTGCTAAGTTTTCTTTTTTTGCCAAAAATTAACAGATTTTTAAACAAAAGTGTGTCGGCTTCGCTAAAAATTGAGAAAATTGACGGAGTGATTTTTTTTAACACAAAACCCACAAACGCGATCGGCGTATGCTGGTTCAATTGCATGATTAGTAACACGGCAAAGTCACGTGCTTCCAAGTTTTATGATAATTGCGATATTTAATTTCTAATGGACCCCTACTTTTTGAAAGAATGACGGATTGCGGCTAAACGACTCATTTTATATATCATGTCTAATACATGGTCACACGAAAATTGACCGAGCAATCGAAATATGCAAGAATATACAGGGGGTTCTATTAAAAAAATGTAACTTTGATATAAATCACCCTGTATAACAATTGAAATTTCGTTGAAAATATTTTTAGGTTGGAGGGTCCTTAAACATGCCCCCACAATGAATTTTAAATATATGCGTTATATAAACCCTCAATCTTCCACCCACACACTAATGGCTCACCCTGTATACCTCACGATCAAACCATATATATAAAAGAATATACAGTGATATTCATGTAGAAGTAGACATAGGGATTTCCTATAGGAATTTCCTATGTCTACTTTTACATGATAAAAGGTCTCCTGAAAGACGCCTAATTTTATGCAATCAAAATAACTTCTTGAAACAAATAAAGATCTGGCTGTCATATTAATTATTAATTTGAATCTTGTTGCTTTGGTTCACAGAAAATAAATCTCTTAAGCTCCTTTAACTGTTATCGGCACTATAACAGTTGGAAATATCAACTTTTTCTTTACTTGAATACATCGCACACGAACCGAAATTAGAATGTCTCTGGAATAGGGAAATCAAAGTGATAAGCAGATCCTGATTTGTTTAAGATAGTTACTTTGGTTGCATAAAATTAGGCGTCTTTCAGGAGACTTTTATCATGTAAAAGCTTAGTGTAAAGAATTCTTACACTATGGTAAAAGTAGACATAGGAAATTCCTATAGAAAATCCCTATGTCTACTTCTACATGAATATCGCTGTATATATGGCTCAAACAATTCCGACATAATGATGTTGTGTACGTACACGGGCCACAAGCCAATTACGGTTTTATTTTCTAAGACTGTATGTGAAATGAAAGGACTTCTGTTGAGGAAGCAATATTTAATAGGGTTAAACAATTAGTTTCCTCAACTACAACTTTAACTTTCTTTGATCCGAAAAGAGATCAAATTAGAGGTAGATACCAGCCCATATGGAGTCGGGGCAGTTATCACTCAAAATAAATTAATTAAACAAATATAGCAAACGAGCTCCTGGGTATGCAAAACCAAATTTTAAACCTGACGTTAGTTTTGATTTTATTTCAAGTGTATATGTACATCCTACACAAAACCAAATTTAGAAAATGGCGCTACATTTGCTTTTATCCCAAGTGTCTATGTATCAAATTTGATTTAAATCCCTCCATAAATAAGAAAGTTGGCACTGCGCATGCGCAAAACCAAATTTTAAAAGTGGCGTTAAATTTGCTTTTATTCCAAGTGGTTATGTATCAAATTTCATTTAAATGCCTTCATAAATAAAAAAGTTTGCAATTCGGTCTGTAAATGGTCGAAATGCGCAAAGGGCACTGTGAATGCTGATCGATTAGGCTCAACTTTTGGAATTGTGTTTTATATGGCTAAAGCTATGCGCATATTGAATTTCATGCAATTCGGTTCATAACTAACGGAGATGTCAAAAGGGCCTACTCGCCCTCATTAATCAAAAGGAGTTGCTATTCAGGATACGTATTTGGTTGTGAGCGTTTTAATTATTATTTGTGCGAGCAAATTAATTTTAAAACCGAAAGTGACCATTATCCACTTATTCTTACTGGACTATTAAAAAAAGCTCTAGATGAAATGTAACCGCGAATCCAGAGACTTGCGATAAAACTTCTTCGATATCAGTTCACGCTTTCGTTCGTTCCGGAAAAGTGCCTTCAGGTACACCAGATGGCATAGTTGTGACCCCTCAAGCGAAATTATTAATACCAACTACATACTTAGATTCATTGTCGAGAAATGATAAACGACCCTTAAAGCTACAACCGAAAAATATTTTTAACGTACCTAATTGTAATTGTTATACAGAGGGTGATTTATATCAAAGTTGCATTTTTTTAAAGGGAACCCCCTATATATTTATTACATATTTCGATTCCTTGGTCAATTTTAGTGTCGCAATCCGACATTTTTTCAAAAAGTATAAGAGGAGTAAAAATGAAATATCGCAGTTATCATAACACTTACAAGGCCGTGACTGCAGTGTTACTAATCATGAAATGCACTAACATACGCCGAACTCTCAAAGTTAAACATCTTTTGTGTTAAAAGAAATCACTCCGTCAATTTTCAAAATTTCAATCAAGGGTAACTTGATTATTTTAAATGGAAATACCATTGTTTAAAAACAATGGAATTACCAAGTTTTTGATTACCTTTCTAGCGATATCAGCATGTTGGTATCTTTTACACATTTTTGTAAGCCAACCATTTCTAATAATTCAATGGTTTTCGATTGTCAAAGCCTCTCGGTAATCAGTAGGCCGTTATAAATTATAAACACCAATTCAAATGATAAAACATTTACCCCCATCAAAATAAAACAAAAACTCTTGTTTTTCATAGCCCATTTTAAAAGATAAAATAATGACTTTTGCATTTAAACCAATGTTTAAATAGATCAATATTTGAATAGTAAGCCACGAAAGCCATATTGGAAAATGTTAAATCAAAATAAACTGAAATAACATCTGTCAGTTTAGTTAGTTCATTGGCATTTACAATTCTGTTGTTGATTGTTGACTAGTGAAGTTAATTTGTTAGAAAAATGGAATTTGAATAAAATTTTAAACGGTGCTATGAATTTTTAAGTACCTACCTACTCAATTTTTTGCTCTTTTACAAAATGTTCTGGTGCACATCGTAGAAGAAATGTGGATTCAGCACGATGGTGCTCTACCTCATTTTGCTATGTACACGTTAAAGAATAGGTGAATCAAAATTTCTTGGGAGGTGGAGAGGTCGACTAGGCCCTATAAATTGACCAGCGCGCTCTCCAGACCTGACACCACTGGACTTCTTCTCAGGGGGATACGTGAAACTGTATGCAAAAAAGTCCCAACAACAAAAGAGCATATGAAAATGCGCCTGCGTAATGCTTCCGCATCCATAGCGCCAGCTGCGCTTCGTCGTGTCAAGAATGATTTCCTAAACCTATCGACAAATATGTTTTGTTTTGAACATTTATTGAAATAATTGTTATTGTTCTCTTATTTTTATTTCAACTTTTTATTTTGATTTTTATGGTTTTTTGTGTTTTGTTTTATTTGGAGTAATTTTTTTAAATTTCAGTTGTTTATAATTTTTAACAGCCTACTAATTACTGAGGGACTTTGAAAATCGAAAAACGCTGTGAATCATTAGAAATTGTTTAATTACATAAAACATGTAAAAGATAAATATCGACATTCTTATTTATAGTTAGAAAGGTAATAAAATCCTACATTTGATGCGATAAAAAAATTTTGGGAGTTCCATTAAAAAAATCAAGTTATACCTTTGATTAAAATTTTAATAATTGACGAAGTGATTTCTTTTAAGCAAAAGAAGTTTAACTTAAACCGTTCGGCGTACCTATATTGGTACATTTCGTGGTTAGTAAGAGTAGTAGTAAGCTTCTCAATTTTAAGATTACCTACTGCGATATTCAATTTTTACTGGACATCTACTTTTTGAAAAAAACGGCGAATTGCGACCAAACGCCTCATTTTACATCTTATGATAGATACATAAAGTCACACTCGAAACCTTCCACCACAGATTTAATTAGTATATTTAAATCTGTGCTTCCACCTTCCACCCACATATTAATGTAATGGCCCACCCTCTATAAGCGATACTTTTTTTCAAAAACCCGCTAAAACGTAGTTTGAGAAACGTGCGAAAAAATGGACAAAGAGTCCATAATACCAGAAGAAATGCTTTGAAACGAATAACTACGCCTGATACACATAAATGTTACAAAGGCATCAGTAGTCAATACATATATGTGTCTGTGGACCGACGTAGTACATACTTATTACCTACAATAGCTTATTACTTCGGGTATTTTAAACTGTTTTATGAGGATGTTTTATATTAATTTCATTGAGAACTATTTCTATTCAACAAAACTTTGTGTAGGTACCTATCTACAGTTAAAGGTATGCAATATGTAGTTCAAGTTTACGTTTTACTGTTATTACCTATAATGCAACTAAATATCAAGTTATACTTATAGGCTGAAGTCATGTTATGCTAAATTGATTTCCCTAAAACAATAAACTTCCAATACATCAATCCAAAACACATAAATTTGTATATCAATTATCTGAAGGAATTCAATTAAATTCGTATACAAACTGGACTCAAAGTTTTAATTAAATGCTCAAACTCGCATATTTTGTTAAATTTTACCAATTTTCATTGTAGTTTGTCTTTAAAATGACGCTCCGATTATGTAATGTATGCATGCAATGGAAATTAGAATTATTTATGTTGAGTTGTAAAATAATGTCACTTATTTCAGGACAGCGTGTATATAATACCTATATCTATCAACCTAGATAGGATGGAGGAATTAGAAAATATTCCAAATCAGCGACTACTAATAAAGCTCAGTTCTTTTGGGGAGGGACACATATTCGCACAGCTCTCCGAAATTATTAACAAAATGTTGACAACGGAGATGATGGAGGACGAAGGTGTCGAAGATGAGTTCAACATGGTTTTAGCGAGTGATTATAATTGGCGCTTGAATATTTATTTCAAATTGCTAAAAAAAATTCGAAACACGGATAGTGGGTAAGTAGAGCGAACTTTTTATTTATATGCCCTCATTCTTTTCGTCATCTACTTTAGTTAATGAGTTTCAAAGTAATTACAAAAGTTTTGTGCCACTCTGCTTGAGTTTCCTTAAAAAAACTCTTTTCAATGCGGCATCTAACAAATTTGATATCTTAAATTGAAAATCGGAAATAGATATCCGCTTTCGGTGCCATAAAAAACGGAAAAATTGACAACGTTGAAGGAAGTATAGCTGCGGGATATCGGAAACTAACCCTAGTTAATCTATTTTCTGTCATCGCATACGTGACAAGTGCGTGTTAATCTGTGTATATTTGCGTGCTATTAACGTTGCGTGCCTTAAAGTTTGTCGCATGATGAACACTCGAATTAAACATACGACATAAATCAAGAGCTTATAAATTTGATGATAGCTTTCCTACGTTTTGTCCGCATTTTTGGAGAAAGAAGCGTGTCAAATACAAGATATGTGTATATTACCATCGCTAAACTTTTAATAGCTTGATACACATTAACTTATTAATTGTAACATGCAAACATTCTAATTAGTAGTTCACCACAAATGAAATGGAGAGCGTTTTTAAAATCTTGTGAGAATGGAAGCTGCGTTCAACATTTCATTTAAGCGAATTATTAGGATATTAAAGACAAAATGCGTTTTTTCAAAACTTAGTTTTTCCGCACGGTATTAGCATATCTGTTGAGATCCAGCACTGTTATATATAGAAAAATTTTGTCGTTATTAGCGAAGATATTTATACTTACTTTATTCCACACATAATGAGCACCCTGTATGTGCATAGTGAGTACCTAGTGACAGTGACAGTCATTAAACAAATTATTCGTTGATTTTCTCTAAGGGTTAGATAAAAAGCCTGGAAGTCGATCTCTCTCATTACCAGAGTTGGACTGGGTCAAGCATAGAGTGACCCAGTGACCCGGTGACCCAGTTAGTTTACTGACCCAGTGACCCGGTGACCCAGCTTGACCCGGTTACCCAGCTTGACCCAGTTTGACCCGGTGACCCAGCTTGACCCGGTGACCCAGCTTGACCCGGTGACCCAGCTTGACCCGGTGACCCAGCTTGACCCAGTGACCCATCTTGACCCAGCTTTACTCAGTGACCCGTCTTGACCCGGTGGCCCAGTAATTAAATTATTGTTAGGTATCATCCATAACAATTTCAAGTAACTTTTAATTTAAAAAAAAACTTCCTCAATAATATTCGGCAACAAGCACGTAGCCCAATTTCATTCAAGAGAACTAATACCTAAAAAAATCAAATGCATTTGTTTATAGTTTGTAGTCAAGTAGTCAATGAAAGTATTTAGAGAAAAGATTTATTTGGATTAAGCTAACTAGTAGAAAAAAATTAAATGTGAATGAACACCTGTAAGCAAACTGGTAAGCCCTGAAGCAAAGAAACGAAGGAGGGAACTGTTTAGAAATAACATTATTCTAATACAATTCGGGACATGGAAAGTTTTTTACGGCAGTATTGAAGCAAACATCACAGAAATGGCAGTTGTCAAGCAATCGAGTATTATTTTCAACAAACCAGCATTTCATTTATTTCATAATCTGTACACTTGAACCGAGGGCACTGACTTAACTGCGTTATTCGATCTAACTAGGTTACTGGGTCGAATTGGGTCTCCGGGTGAAATTGGGTCGCTGGGTCAAACTGGGTCACTGGGTCAAACTGGGTCAAGTTGGGTCACTGGGTCAAACTGGGTCACTGGGTCTAACTGAAAAGAGTATGACGTGACCCAGCGACCCAGTGACCCAGTTTAATTTAGTGACCCAGGTGACCCAGTTGACCCAGTGACCCAGTCCAACTCTGCTCATTATAGATCTCTTACATTAGGTTCAATGAATGCCGCCCGCGTTACCTGGGTTAGCCTCGAATTGTTAGCGGAAACCCGCACCCTGGCGGGACTTGTTCTGCGATAAAGAAAACATTTTGAATATGATAACACTAAAAACATGCACGAGTTAAGCTCCGAGACACCGTAAATGTTGAATCGATTTGGTTCAACTTTTGGTATTCCGTATTATCGCTAAAGCTATTCAGAAAACAAATGAGTAACCAAAAACCATTGAATTTTTTTAAATACCAATATACTCTTTTACCCTTATACCCTTTTATTAGGTTCGTTTGATAGAGATTGTTTTTTTTTTCTATTCGATAACATAATATTAATTAATTACACCAACAACGTTAATGGATATGGAAATGGATAGTGGATATCCTACATCAAAATAAAGCAAATGAACCTTTAGGTTTCTTATTAAACCTTGAAGACAAAACGAAATTAGCAGTGAAATGGTTTTCATCGCAATAAATGTTCAGATTGTTCGCTATTAACTGCGAGGCGAGCTTGAAAAAAAATTAATTTCTTGTTGGTGGGTGGTGCTAACATGTTACGTCATTGAGAAGAGAAAAAGAATCTTATAACGCTGATATTATAAATAACCACGTTATAATATATTTATTGTAAACCACTTTTTTACATAGGTAATGGGGGCGCATTCTTAATTTGACAGCAATCAAAAAAACAAAAACATATTAATATGGGCCGTCTGCCGTAGTTGGCGGGAACGCGGCCATGCCTTCTGCTACGACTTTGGCTCTCAGTGGAACAACTGCCCTCGAACAATGGAAATGGCGTTACAATCTTTACCAAATAAGCCTAACAAAAGGGTGCATTGCTATTTAAAACCAGGTGCCAAATTCTTGACAGAACAGCTTCCTAGCTCAAAACCAACTTTTGTTTGTGTTTAATACTATAATTATTATTACCAATAATTCATTCATCTATTGTCTAAAGTCAAGCAACGTTGCTCCCGGTTAGTATTTGAATGGGCAACGCGATTTTCCCTCATGCATTTTATTTGCTTTTATTAGAGGGACCTATATCATCAAAATTTCATTCAAATTGCTCCATAAATAAGAAAGTTGAGTTGCCGCGATTTTTTGCGCATGCGTTTTATTTACTATTGTTAGAGGGCCCACCATGAAAATTTCGTTTAAATTGCTTCATAAATAAGAAGGTTGAGTTTTGCAACACGATGTTTTGCGCATGTATTTAATTTACTGTTATTAGATTTTTCCCGATTTCTTATGGTAATTATAATGTACATGAATCCATATCAATCTTGGAGTGATAACGAAGGTTACCTACCTACTCGATTTTTGAAAAAATTCCCCAAGGTAGTGGTAGATCATGTAAACAAACGGGACCAACAAACTACCCAATTTTTATTTCGGTGCATCCCATCTCGGCGATGTAAATCCCGACGACGTACACCCCGGCACCGTTTTCCCGGTGACAACCCATCTCGGCGACCATTACTATCCCGGCATCGGTTATCCCGGCAATGCACACTTTCCTAACGCCGTCTGTCCTGCCTCATTTCTCTTTTGGTTTTTTTTTTGGACATAAATAATGATATGCTTTAGAAGCGGATGTCTAATTTGGTACCGAAAGTGGCTGTTATTGTGCCTGGTCGCTGTGATTAATGCTTAGAAATAGGTATAGGAGACCGACATATGCAAGGAAGCTCAAATAAGTTACACAATTGCCATCGGTGCAAAGGACCCATTCACCCAATCACACTATAAAATAGCAAATCAGAAAACTTAATCCGGATGAATTGTTTCAATATGACAAACATGAATTTGCTTCATATGTTTACCGCTTCTTAAATGTTTTCCATCCCTCCGATCGCAGAGTTCAAATTGCCTGGACGACCGAAGCCGGGATTGTCCATCGCCGAGATAACCGAAGCCGGGAAGTAGATGGTCGCCGGGTTGGCTTGTCGCCGAGAAATCGGTGCCGGGATGGTCATCGCCGGGATGACCGTGGCCGTTTTTATTTATTAGTAGTGTACTCACTAACTCACATGTGATCACGCAGATCTCAATTGCTAGTCATTCACAGGTTTTCCCCTTCTATTCCAAAGAATTATACAATCACCCATGTGGCCGACTAGTCGTACAAATAATTGTCATTCTATCACTGTTAGAGCCTCGGTTAGAACTATTCTGACCGAAGTACCTACTTACGAGATTCAAATCTTAAGATTCTGGCACACCAACCAAAAAGTGATATTGACGACATATCATTTATAGTAGGGGAGCTAGCACGAAATCCACTGAACGAGAATGATCAAAATTTTAACCGATGGAGTTCCATTTTGCCCTATCAGAGTATGCTAAAATCGATCGTCTGCCGCCTCAGGTCATACGACTTAAGGCGCTGCGGGTACTTCTTGTGCTACCAATTCTGAAAGGTTGTTTTTCGAGAAAATAAGTTATACACTAAATGAAAACGTTGATAATAGCTCTTAAAAAAATATTTAAAAAAATCGCGCACATTTGATAACTCCGTAAAAAAACAATTCTTAGTCGGTTTTTCACGAACTTTCTACGGATATAACTAGGTTACCGTTGGAAGAATGAAGCTGATTTTTTTTACAGACTGGTATATTTACCTATGTGCCTGAATGGTAAACGTAATCTACCGTGTACGTAAATGTTGGAACATCAAGCTTCATAATACCATTTGCATTTAATGCAAATCCAATTGCACATCTAACGTGCTAGACAACAATGCTTTACATGAAAATTTATTGATCAGATTTTAAGGTAATATGCAACACACATGCGAGGTACATACTAGGCAACGTTCTTTACAGAAGATTTATTTTGAATTTAAGTATATTTCGTGAAAATATCTCTTTATATCCATCAATTCACTACTCGTACCATGAACAAAAAGAAAAATATCTGAATCAATTGCATTGAAATTGAAGTTTCACGCAAATTACATCAGTCAATGCAAATCGTTGCTGCAACTGACATGTCATATCGATATCACAATTTATTTTATAAGAAATAGCTGCCCGACCCGGCTTCGCACGGGTGTTTATAATTTTCGCATTCTTGGTTACATGTTGGGATGGATGTGCATGTGTATGATGTTGGTTATAGA